GAAAAGTATGGACCTGTTCTGCCATATTTCTTCTTACAGCTTGCCCAGGTCTTTCCTTAATTCGTAACAGTTAGTCACTTTCTTATATCTATGAACAGACTTTACCAATGAGATAATGAATTTTACGCTATCTGTACCATTTCGTGCCGTTAATTTAAACCCGTTAATACCTGAGACAGATTCCAATAATTTCTGGCGAACTGTAGATAACAACTGCCGACTGGCGCGTGTTAACGAAAAACCGCTTCTGTTAAATTATATTTATCTTCTAATAGTAAAGGATGTTTCTCATTGAAACGATAAATTACCGCGTTTAGACCCACCTCCAACTCTCAATAACCCGTCCGAATCTAAAAATGGATTCGGCAAGATTAATTGAGATTTATCCGTTAAAGATTTTTTTCTCGAATTGTAGACAGCTCATTTGTAAAGTTGTCGTTTCGGGTTAATTTTACAAAACGTTTCGTGGCGTATTCTAATCATGTTACGGTAAGAATTTTATTTTCGACGTTATCCTGATTTGCCAAAAACCATTATCGAGTTTCTGAAATGGCCGTCAGGGGCCGCAATAGCTATCTCGATTTTTAAAACCCAGTGTCTACAAAATTTTCAAATATTAACCATAGTTACAGTGAATAAAAATCTTATTTTTATTATTTTAAGTGAAAAAGAGTACGGAAAAACTAAAAAAAGGATATTTTTTTACAATACTTCGACGGGCACAAAATTACCCCAACAACTGACTTATTTTTATCAATTGTTTTAATTTAATTAATTTTATATTGCTCTTATTTATTATTTTTTAATACTCATTTAATTATATTTTTAAGTTGCACTGTATATAATTAGAATTTTTCTTTATTCCTAATTTCCATTATTTCGAATGATATTTTTTCAAATATTTTGCGCACCCGGTATGATGACGAAAATTGTAGCCCTCTATGCAGTTTAGGATAGTGTTTAAATCAAAATATCCCATTTTTTATAAATTATATGTTTACGGCTAATATTTTACCCACGAACACAGATTTTTTGGGCATTACAGACACACCGTGCATGTACAGGATGGTCTATACCTTATATTAGTAATCACGACATCGAGGAAAAAAAATAAATACAAAAAGTGTTTGACCCTAACTATATATTTTATTTATAGTATTTTTATGCATACAGGGTATTCTCTTGTGCTAGGTCGGTAATCAACCTTTTGAAATGGAATGCTATGAATATTTTTAAAAATTCTCATTATTAATATAAATAAATAATTAATTATAAAGTAAACTTTTCCGTTCTATTGTGAAAAAACAGACCTTTGGAGAAATGTTTTTTTTTACACTAGAAAAGTAAAATTGGTAATTTTTATTATTTATATATATATTGTTTATAAAGGGAAGTGGTTAATATTTAACATTTTGACCTATCAATGGAGAAAATATATTCTACAGAGTGGTCACAAATGACCATCAACAAATGTTTTTTGAGTTTGTTTAAATAGCAGGTTCGATTGAAAGAAATTGAGTTTTTAATTAGAAAAGTTTTTTTTTATTGTCATTTGTGACCACTCTGTATAATGTATTAAATTTATTATAACAGATAATTTATTATCATAGACTTGTCATAGCATTAAATATTAACAAATTGCATATTTTAATTTTGGTTTATGTAACAAACAAATTTTTCCAAAGACCTGTTCTCAGCAAAAAAATGGAAAAAGTTATTTTTTTTTTTAAACTCCAAAAAATCAAGGTAATAATTAGAAATAGAAGAATGTAAAGTTCTTATGGTCCAACACTTTTTGCATTCAATTTTTTCCCTCAGTGTCCTACTTACTGGGATAAAGTATAGCAGCATCCTGAATGAATCACCCTGTACATAACCCAAAAAATACCAAAAGTAAAGGTTCTTAGCCTGAATCTCTCACGTTTCCCTGTGAATAAATTTTGTCCAATAGCGGATATTGTTAAGATCTTTTAGAATTTTTCCCATAAACGACACACCCTGTATATTAAAAAACCAAATTAACAAACATTTTCAGAATTTTAATCTTTACTTTAGTCAGCAACCGGATTCAGGGAGGGTCGATCAACAGATTCTTCTACCACCAAGCTGGTTAAAGCTATAGTCAAAGGACAAGAAGAAGGCAAATTTACGACTGCAACATTCTGCGATATTACTAAATGGTTCGACTGTGTGAACCACTCGATTCGATTAAGAAAATTAAAATATTACAGTTTTAACATCTTGAGCCGAGGTCTATTTGGTTCATTTCTAGCTGAGGGAGAACAATACGGTGTTTATGACAATAAAATCTCTAATATATTACCAGTGAGAAATGTTGTTGTACAGGGCTCAGTAATGATACATACCCTCTTCTCATATACATCAACGACCTTCCTGAAGCCCTTTTAGATATTTATCTGGCTTTGTTTGGGGACGACACCATTTTCTCAATAAATAAAAAAAATCACTGAAGCACTTGCTGAAGCTAACTCTGAATTAACAAAATTTCTTTAACCGTCTCTCACAGGCACATCAACGAAGTGAATAATGGACAAATTTATTTAGACCCCAAACAAAATTGGTGTCACCACACAGTGGTGGCTAAACACTCTCAAAAAACATTTTTCTAATACGTAGCCTAAAGGGCACTGTGGTTTGTTACTTATTATTGACAACATATCATGTTCTAATTGGCTCCCACTTGCTGTATGGTCTGATAAAGTGGGGCCAAGCTCCCCGTTCAACAAGAGTCTTCGACCTACAATGGAGGGTAATTAGAATAATCACAAACTTCAAATACAGACAATATGTTCGATCTAAATCCTTACATTGCCAAGTGCTTATATACTTAACTGTCTAGTATACGCTTACGAGAGTCAAACACGGCATAGGGACAACTTCAGACCTGATTTCTTCCATTTTAATGCGAGTAGGCTAGGTTCAAACTACTACTGCATTAATTTTTTTTGATAAACTCAAGTCCGAGGCAAAACAACTCTTAATAAACAGATTCAAGAACTTAGTCATTTTTTTTTAAATAAAGGAATCCTTTAACAGCTTGAAGGAGATATTGATAATTATATCTAGTCAGATAAGTTTCCGTGATAATCTTCGTTCAGCTTTAATGTACGCCATAGCGCTTTATGCTTTATGCATTTTTCCATGTTATGTTTTATTGCATACATCTTCCATGTTTGTAACAATAACTGAAATGAAACGAAAACGAAATTAATAATTCGACAAGCGTGTGTGATAATGAAGTAAATATAAAAGTCATAGCTCTACAAGCTACCTACAGCATCGTTTAAACCAAGTAGCCATATGTTTCAAAATTTTTGATTTACGACTAATAATTTAATCCCGAAAAGAACAATTTTCAGGTTCTATTATATTTTCGTCCATAACTGGTAAACCCTGTATATAATCCACATAAGTCCCGGATGTCCCGCGAATATAATTGGTAAGTCCGAATTCTAAAGTTTATATGCGGTTATGGATTTCTACTTCCCGTGGTCTGAAATCGATAGCTACTATAGTTTTTAATATAACGGGAAATATCGTACTGTACTAGGGTGCTTCAAAAATTTTTTAAATTTTTTTTAGCTATTACCCACTCAAATGTTTCTTATATATAAAAAATCTTCACCAATAATGAGCCCTGTAGCTCAACTCTAAGGGGTCGCTATTTTTAATTTAGTTTGAAAAAATTATTTTTTTACTAAAATGAAATTTACGTATAATGTTCGCGATTTTTTACAAAAAAACAATTTATATTGTTAAAGTCGAGTGTTTAAGCTTTCCAAAACCGTATTAAAAGAATATTAATTACAGCCATTTAAAAAATACTAAATTTTGAACTTTTCAGAAATAGCTTTTAATAATTTTTTATCTACATAATTTCTGAAAATGTTTATCCTAATTAATAGTCAATGTTTTATTTCTATGGATTTTAAATTTTAAAATGGTTGTCGGTACGTAGAGTAGGTGGCAGCACCAATTACTTTAGATCATACGGTACAGTTGTCAAATTATCAGAGTCTTCAACATATATATTAAGAAATTATTGTGTCTTGTCATTCATTAAAGCTCTCAGTAATTTCAATGATTATCAGTAAAATGGCTGAAAAGATACTTTATTTGGTTGGTTTTTCATGTAGAAAATTAAGTAAACGAAAATTACCGAGTATAAGAAGAGTTTTATAATTTTATGAGTGATTCGTAATGTCATTAAAGTTTGGAAACCTACTGATATTGAACTACAGGGCTCATCTTTGGTGATTATTTTTTTTTATAACAGAAAGAAACATTTCAGACGGTAAGGGCTAAAAAAAAAATTTTTTAAGCACCCTACTCTATACACTATGTGGAAATGTTAAATACACAAGTTTTGTTATGCTCGATATGATCTTATTCAAGTCCATCTTTTCTTGGACCCGTGTAAATGTGGTTTTTAAATTTTTGAAAATACTTTCCCACCCCTTAGTTCAGCCAGTTTCAATGGTTTCAATACGTTAGAGATCTAAGATCTATACTTGTCCCAGATTTCAAATCGGTAGCTTCAAATTTCGGAAATTAATTGCGCCTCTTCATAGAAAAAAAAATATTTTTTTTCGGCCCTGATCATTTCATCATTTTCAAAAAATTCGATTTTATCGACAAGCTATTTGCGGTCAATTAGACACAATCGTGATTAAAAAAAAGATACTTTGACGGTCATAAAATAAGGACATAAAACATGCGTTGTGTTTTTTTCAGATAAATACACAAAATTTGTGTTCTTCGTGATCTTGGTACTTAGAAATCAAAAATTAAAATAAGTACTCAAACTTTTTCTCTTTTTAGTTCTCCAAGAATTCTTTTTGAAGTTATCCCTTGAATCCAGTCTAATTTTTTAGTCCATAATTTTCAAATCGAACAAACTAACTTAATGAAAAAATGATTGTATATGTCCAGTCTGTTATCCTGATATGCTAACACGAAACTCCTTTCTTTTCATGTAGCTCCGAGGATGACGATTCATCACACTCCTTCCCCACCCCAGGGTCTCACGAGCGGCAACGGATCCAGCAAAAGGAAACGTTCGTGGTCCAGGGCGGTCTTTAGCAATCTGCAGAGGAAAGGTTTGGAGAGGCGCTTTCAACTTCAAAAGTACATCACGAAACCAGATCGGCGGCAACTAGCCGCTACCTTAGGTAAGCTTGTTAAGTGATCCCAAGCTCACATTTTTTTGAAGGTTAAGGTGTCTTTATAACGTAACGCATATTTATAAACTAACAAAAGTATTGTAACGATAACACAATACATATAAAAATTCCGTTGTCACCTATAAATTTGTTTTATTACCTTTGGAAAATCATTATACAAGGTGATAGCCTGGTGTAAAAGAGACCTTTCGAAAAAATGCACATCTACCACTTTGTCAACATTGCCCTCTAACGTGTCGCATTTTTTTTAGGCCTCACCGACGCTCAAGTAAAAGTATGGTTTCAGAATAGAAGAATGAAGTGGAGGCACTCGAAGGAGAACTCAAAATCGGGGGAAAACAACGCCGACTCCTCCCAAGAAGAGCTCCAGATAGACGTCGACACTGTGAGCGACGACATTGACTGAACTTACTCGAAGAATCGAGATTTCGAGCATAAAGCCAAAAAGTACAAAAGTTATTCGAATTGTGTAAATATTAATTGATAACTTGATAAGAATAAGTTCTTCTGTTGTGTCGATTTTTTGTCCAAAATTCATGTGATAAAAATAAACAGTGTTGCAGGTGTTCTACTATTTCGTCATTGTTCGAAATTATTAAAGAGTCAATCTGAATGTAAAACAATGTGTTTCAAAGTTCCGAACCCAAATAAACGAGAAATAATCAGTCAGTTATATGGAAAGCAATATATCTTATTTGTTACAGGTTTTAGAAAAAAAATAATACGAAAGTTAAGACTAAAAGAAACAATTCAAAATTATTTTCCAATTTACAATGGAAATGAAACTCGTATATTTTTTAATGGAACTCCCTGTATATTATTGCATTAGTTGATACTCCTTTTTACACTCAATCACCCAACGGAGAGTTGTTATAGTCTATACCGTATTTTTGGTACTTAAGTAATGCTTGTCCATGACTTTCGACAAATAAACAATCACTCCAGTTCCAACTATATATTTCATAAAAGTGCCTTATAGTTTTTGATGAGACTGGCTAATAAACAACACTGAAAATTTTCTATCTATCATCACAGATTTAGAACATCAAAATGTAAATTATAGTTCTTCTGAAGGCCAACTAGAGCTTGGAACTTATTACCGCAGCCTAAATTTCTCAAAACAAATAACTATAAAAACAAAAAGGCAATAATTTCCATACAAAACATAATTTGGTATCTAGAACATTGGAAAATATTTGACATTTTCACAACATTGTAGCTGCTGAAATGAATGACGTTTGATTTATAAACCGACGCAAGAGGAATCCAGTAGCCTGTGGAAATTTCTTTGACAAACATTTGGATGTATCTAATGACGGTCAAATTCTGTTAAGACAAATAATGAAAACAATATTTTTTTGTTTAAATTGAAGTAATTTGCGGTGTGCTTCCTAACAATTAATGTGGCGACATTAAAGAAGGTAATACGGTCTCTTGAAAAATAACAATACGGATATGAGTTCTGTAATATTTAATTATTTCATATACATATTTTAACATCTATTTAGGAACATTTTACATAAATATTTAAAAACTACATTTAGTGTTTCGAATAATCGGTAATTTTTTTAAAAATTTTTTAGTATTCCAATACGCATCACGTACTTTGGCTTGTATTTTCACCATTTCTTCGAGAGGGGCATCTTCCACATGATACATAAAAAATTTCTTTAGCAGCTTAACTGAATATAGGGCTTGTTGAATGATTGGTGGTCCAAGATCAACTTCTTCATTTTCTTCTTCCTCTTGATGCTCTTCCTCACGTTTTCTTGCTTGTTGTAATATGACTTCCTCTGTCAAGTCTGCTGTTGTAGGCAAATCCTTATCTATCGCCATAAAATCTTGCAACTCCTCACTTGTAAACGTAATTGTTGTTTGAATCTGATTTATCCACTCGCTTAGTGGATCATCTTTTAAACTCCTGTTCGCATTCTGTCTCGGTAATAAGTCCTGCATGACGATAGGAGTGTTGAATTGTTTCTGCTGTCACCTTTTTCCAGGCTTTACTGATAAAGTTGACTGCATCTAGCATATTAATGGAAAATTTGTCTTCGGACTCGATCATTTCCATTAAAATGTTTTTTCTGTATCGACTCTTAAGGCTTTTTATTACGCTCTGTGCATCGGCTGTAATACACTTGTTGTTTGGGCTGCAAGAAATGCCAATTCAATATTTGGAATATGGGGATGTGCAGAGCAGTTATCTAAGAAAAGTAATATTTTCATCCCCTTTAACTCTGTATCCCATTTCCCTATCTCCTCTTCAAAAATTTGCGATATCATCCATTCAGACTTGTTTGCCTTGTAAGTTACCGGCAAATGCTTGATGTTCTTAAAACATCGTGGGTAAGTTAATTTTTCAATCACGACTAGCTTTCTTTTTTCTCTCCCACTCATATTGGCAGCTACTAAGACTGTTATACGTTATTTAGAAAATTTCCACCCACACAGCTTAAGCGAAATTTAAGAGTTTTATCTGGAGTCAAAAATTCCAGTTTCGATAATGCCAAGCTGTTCAGCAAACTTTTCTGCTTTTAGTTTTACGATAGGTCCAGTGAGTGGTATATTTTTAAGACGTTGCTGTTGGAACCACTGCAACGTCCCGCTTTAGCCTGAATGTTTTGTCTTTGCACTTCCAAATCGTGGATATAGTCGACGGTGTAAGTCCGTATCGACGTCCCACATCACTTTTCTTTTCTCCCCGTTAGAACTGATCTAAAAAATGGTGTGCTTTTATACATACCGATAAAGGCATTAACATAATCGCTTATTACGAGAAAAACACTTAGGACAACCAAGTTCTTGGTAATTAGGTTATTATGGTAAGGAATTCTAAGAAGGTAAGAGGCTCTATCAATTACAAGTCGGCCGACATTCCTTACTTTGTTACCTGATGTGCCCTTTTTTCTTTTAGTACAGAGAGTGAGAAATTCGTTATACAGAGTGGATTAATACATAGCTTTGTATGGAGACCTAATAGTACAACAAATTTTGTTCGTAATACAGAGTTTTACGTTATACAGAATTTTGCTATAGGGAGTTTCACTGTATCTTCGAGAATATTGTAGAATTACATTTATCAAAAATACAAGAAATTCAGGACCGATATAAACATGTACTGACGCCATGTCATTTTATAAACTATATATGAGAATGCCCACAGTTGCCCATTTAAAAAAATATATGTTTTCGGATGAAATAGAAAACATAAATGGAATACAACTTTGGTTAGGTTTTTTTGTTCGTAGAAAAATGGGTTGATGAAATAAATTACATTTTTCGTATCAATGTCACCTATTTTTTAGGTCCTTATCTAATGCCTCGATCTTATAACCTCAAAATATTTCTCCATCTGTTAATCATTACTTTGTATTTGTATAGCAACTTCTTATAAATCATTTTGTAGGGTACCCTGTCTTTTTCCACCAAAAATGTAAAATAATTGAGATATTAGTCAGAAAGTAAAAAAAAAAGTACCTTTGGGGCGGTTTTTACAGAGTTTCGCTATAGGGAGTCTTCACTATATATATATATATATATATATATATATATATATATATATATATATATATATATATATATATATATATATATATATATATATATATATATATATATATATATATATATATATATATATATATATATATATATATATATATATATATATATATATATATATATATATATATATATATATATATAGACATTACACTTTAAATATAAATTGAATGCCCATAGTGATAAGCACGCTCGCACTGTATACGATAGAAACCATCAGGTTGAAGTTTACTGTAAACATGTCCCAAGCCCTTATCTGGATTTTTGCTAGCGACATTTGCTCATCGAACAGTTTCAGTTGTTCTTTGAATAGCAGTCCGTCCTTCTGCCAATTCAGTTCGACGGTGTTCATGAACGCGTGGCAAAGTTCCCTAGTGATTTGGAATTCCTTTTCCACGTTACCTCCCATCAGGCATGCCGCGAATGTCTGTATCTAAAATGCGCACATTAATTACGTAATTAATTAGTGTGTACAGGGTGGGCCAAATAGGACACTCAAAAGTCCTCTTTTTATAGGAGATAGACGAAAGCTGATGTCAGTGTCACATCGATATTGAGTAGAATGTTTGTCTATTTTGAGTAAGTGGAACAGAAAACAAATACGCTTACGGGTAGTTAAGGAAATAATTAAATTAAAACTAATTTTTGCACTGAAATATACAGAATTTTTTAACAATTTAAACTATGAAGCGACAAAAACTATAAGAGTGGAGGTGTTTGAATGTGTTCGTTCTTTAGGAACGCGCTGAAGGACCACCAGTATAGATTTTTGTTAATAAATGGGCAAATTTTTGAGGAATGAATCTGAATTCCTGGAATAAGTCAAAATTTTTGACACACAAGTATAAATTTTTGATTCAATAGACTAAAGTCAGAATTTCTGACATAAGTCACTAAAGTCCGAATTTCTGAAAAACAAGTTAGAAATTCTTTACTGCGATAGATGATCTATTGAAGTCAGAAATTCTAAGAAAAGAGTCAGAATTTCCTTATGTCACTGAAGTCGGAATTTCTGATTTAAGTCACAAAAGTCATAATTTCTGGGAAACAAGTCGGAAATTCTACATTGGCATAGATCATCTAAATAGGTAACTGAAGTCAGCATTTCTAAGAAACAATTCAGAATTTCTCTATTGGAATGGATCATCTAATTAAGTGACTAAAGTCGGAATTTCTGACATACGTCACTGAAGACAGAATTACTGACAAAAGTCAGTAAAGTCATACTTTCTGAGAAACAAGTCGGAAATTCTATATTGGCATAGTTCATCTAAATAGATAACTGAAGTCAAAATTTATAAGAAACAAGTCACCTAAGTCAGAATTTCTGACATGTCATTAAAGCCATAATTTCTGAGAAAGAAGAAGGAAAGTCTATATTGGCATAGATCATCTAAATAGGTAGCAGAAGTCAGAATTTCTAAGAAACAATTCAGAATTTCTTTATTGGAATGAATGATCTAATTAAGTGACTGAAGTCAGAATTTCTGACTTAAGTCACTAAAGCCATAATTTCAGAGTTGATTAGATGGTTTTATTTTTATTGTAGATATCACAGAGAAGTATACTAAATCAGGTACTTGGAATGGCGACTCCAACTTGCAAGTTGTCTTTCGGAGGATTTAATCAACCGAACTCAGAAATCGCCCTCTTAATTATTGACATTCCTTTAGAAAACACTTTGTATAATGACAGTTAACTACACCACACAACAGCTATCATGACTAATTTGATTTGTGAAGCAATAGTCATTAACTTCTTTACAGTGAATATTACATAAATTGCTTTCCAAATTTCCAAAAATAAACCTAACAACTGATATTATTTGAAATCAGGAGAAAAATGCCATCGATTGAGATATTCATCAAGGTAATCAATTCAAATTTGACAGATTATATTTTTATTTTATTTGATTGCACATTCGGAAGGTTTAGGAAAAATTCTCTAAGTTTGGCAATTTAAACTTTATCTTAGGATCGACATCAACAGGTATCGA